CTAAACCCCTAAGCTTTAAACCCTAAACTTCCCTAAACCCCTTCTTCCTTTGCCTGCTCTCCTGCTCTTGCTGGCTTCTCGTGTCCACTCTCCGGGAGATTGGAGCCGGCCTACACACTCGGCGCTGATGAAGACCCGCGGCACCTTCAGTTATTCAGCAGGAAGCGGAGGAGCAGGGCCTTTAGGGCCTTTAGGGTTTTTTATTTAGGGTTTAGGGCACATAGGGTTTCGGGTTTAGGGCCTTTAGGGTTTAGGGCACATAGGGTTTCGGGTTTAGGGCTTACGGCTCAAGAGCTTGCAATTCACACCCTGGCCGGACCCGAGCAGCCAACAGCGCTTGACACGGAGGATCCTGGGATTCTGGGATTCTCACAGAGCGCGCCCCGGTCGTCTGCAAGAAGTGGTCCTGTCCATGCTTGAGCAAAAGGACCACCAAAAAGGTCTTGATCCATCATTCCATGTTTGCTCTTCTCGCCGCACCCGCCAGCATGCATCTTGCACCGGTTGATACGATTCTGCTTCCAAAGCTTCTTGGCCACACAGAGTGTACGGCAAACATCCATGTGCGCTCAACAACCTCGCAATGATCAAAAAAACGGAAACATGACCCCCGCATCTTCAACTCGAGCGTTGCATTGCCAAAGTGGAGGTTTCTCACAGTGCGACGTGGGAGTACGAGTTTGAAAAAGGCAGCTCTTGTTGCATACTTCGGACGCGGTTGGAAAGCAGGCTCTGATGTCTTTGCTCGTCCGTGCTTGTGCGGCTCGTTGCTATTCCTGCAACAGCAGTAAGTTGTTCTGGGCAGCAGCCCACAGTCGAGCCACCACGTGAGAGGAGGGCGGTCCAGCCCGCTTCAGTTCTGCGTCTCTGGTCAGGAAAGAGCCGTTTGCTTTCGAGTTGGGGCCTGAGCAAACATGGCCAAGAACCCCAGGAAGGTTGTCCTACTCTAGCACTGCGCTCCGAACCGGTGACCATGCAATCGTCGAAAGAAATCTTTCACAGTCCGGAGGATCGAGTAGAGGTAAAGGTTGGCTAATGGTCTGGCAGGTGAATCTCCCCTCCTGAAGTTTCAAGCTCCTCTGGGGAGATCACAAGACACACAGCGATCGTAGACCAACCATGGAGTCACCGTCCCCAAAGGCTTGCAGATAACATCACAGCAGCAAAGTGCTCCTGTAGTGCAGACATCTCATCTGGCTTCAGTTCCTTGTCCAACCTTGGCATGGAAAGTATCACGGTTTTTGACTCTCTGACGAGGACAGTTCCCTTTCAATGCATGGTGTGCTGGAGACAGCTAGAAGTAGAAGTCTGAGAAGAGTGACTCCATCACGTGGCACTTTGCCTTCAAGTCGCTGAGCAGAACCTGGCAGAGGAGCTGCGAGGCTCCCCCGCGCAACATGGTACATGCAAGCCTTCGGAGTCGGCCCCCTGCAACTTGGCCGCTGACGCTCTTGGCCATGTCGCAGAAAGGGCAAGTGCTCTTCGAGAAGACCACGCACCTCACCGTGGAGGGAGAAGAGAAGGCCAGTCAGTGAGAAACGCCGAGAGCCGCTGAAGGTGCGGCGGGTTGCTCTGGATGAGCTTCTCCGCCTGCTCCACCACGGGGAGACCGCCCTTCCCAAAGAGCCTTCCAGGAACACACCACAACACACCGCCCCCCCGCTTGTTTGCTGGTGAGCCCCCCTAGACCCAAACCTCCGGAGCCGCGCCATCGCCATCTTTTTTTCTTGCACCTGAGAGGAACAAGGGAGAGGTTTCACAGAAGACGTCGGAGCTTCGCCACCGAGGCCACGGCAACGGCAACGCCCAAGAAAGGGCTCTGTCTCTCCGAGTGAGCCAGAACCGGCTGCAGGGTGCAGGCTGCGCCTGAAGGCTGAACTAGCAGTACCTTTCTCTTCAAGCAGCTCTGGGAAATCTACCTTTTTCTCTCTCATGGGGTTGACCTGGAATCGGGGTTCTCCGAAGCTACAGGGCAAGGGGAAACTCGACAGCGAACACACGCCGGCCGGCCGGGCCGGCCGGCCGTTCCCGTCCCCTTGGAAGACTCTGAGAGGAGCCGCTCCCTTCGGGAGGCTCCATCAGAGATAACAGCTCAAACAGCTCAAGCTCTTAGCAGAGTGGCTTTGAAAAGGTACCTCATTTAAAACGAGTCCGTCACCACCTCTTCCTTGCATCGCGATCAGAACTTATAGACAGCGAAGTGCAGCCAAAGCTAAGGGCGCGGCGACGCGGCTCTTCTCTCGCAAGGTCAGGGCAGGCTCCTTGGCAACGGGCATCAGGGCCTCTGCCAGCATGCGCCTCGGCGAATGTCACAGAATGCTTTGCAGAACCCAAAACAACGGCACGGGATCCTCTGATGGCGCCAGGAAGCTGCTGGGCGGAGAGACGCTCCAACAGTTCGGCGCTGCGGTCTTCTGCTACGAGCTGGCCTCCGGGAGATACGGAGCTGAGGGGACCTGTTCTTCCTAGACCTTCTGTGCCTGAGAGGATCTGGTAGCTCTCAGCAGTAAGCAGCACGGTCACTCCGTGGGCGTGCTTCACGATGCGAGCGTAATCGAGGCATTTCCCTCAGCGACAGCGCCATTTGAGACGAGAAGGACGAGAAGAGGAGCTGCAGAAAGGAACCCTGTGCAGCAAGGCCACTCAACAATCGGACGTCATCTATCTCTTTCGCAAGGGCTGCGAGTGAGGATATGTCGACCTTGACGGTAAAAGCCTCTTGGTTCAGGCAGCGATGATTCACAAGCTTGGTGTAGAGCTCGACAAGGAACTGCAATCCTCGTCCTGGGCGGGAAAAAATCTTGCATTGATTGCACTGATTCCACGCTCCGTGGTTGGAGGCAAAGTGAAAGGAGCTATGGCTTTGAGCAGCCAGGGGTCGAAGGCCCAGGTCTTGATTGGCCACTGCATTGGTAAGGAACAAAGGAAGGTAGAGGAAGATGAATGCCTTGCAGCGTCCCGAATTCGTTTTGAACTTTTCCCTTCTGCCTCGGTTTGGCCTTCTGATAGAGGCCGTCTGTCAAAAAGACCTGGTAGAGAGCGTCCTGAGGCGGCGCGGAGGAGGGAGCACTCGGGTCTTCGAGGCGCCTGTCAGCTCCTGCTCCAGCTCCGTCAACCCATCCCAGTCCGCCGCCAAGGACTGCAGGGCTTTCGGTTCCACCGTTCCTTTGGATTTGACGTCAGAACCAAACTCCCCCCCCCCTCCTTCGGGGCCGAGGGGCGCGTGAGACAGGCGAGGCGGGCGAGCACCAGGTGGCTGGGGTTCTGCACCACCAGCTGCAGCGCCTCCGCACGGCTCGCGATGTACCTCAGAGCCCAGAGAAAGTCCCGCTCCCCCGCTCTCTTTCTCTCTCCCGCTTTCTGAGGCAAAGGGGCCGCCAATAGACGGCTTGCGGCTGCTCCTCCTGGGCGCCCCGGTAAAACAAGAAAAATCGAAACCGAGGTCCGCTTCGCGTCGTGTTTCCACTCGCGAGATGTACGACTCCAGGCGAAACTCTGCTGAAGTGGCGCGTGCTGCACACGCACGCTGCACGCCGGCGCACGCAGACATGCTTTGCTGCCAGCTTTCGCCAAGCAGCGGAAACATGCTGCAAGCAAGCCAGGCCCTTGAGAACGGAGCGCCCGTTGAGCTCGCTGAGGAACATGGAACCACGGAGTGTGATGGCACCGGTAACCTGCCGGCATGACAATGGGTGGCTTCTCGTGGAAATCAGATCCGTTGATGTCGTGATCTCTCAGACATACCGTGCCCCTCAAAAAAGCCGAGAGACGCCACACAGGATGCTGACTTGGACGAACAAATAGATCCTTCAGGTGAGCATATCTTCCTGTGAACTCCCAAGCACCCAGTCTCTGCAGACAAGATTCTGGAACACTTCGACTCCCTCTTCTTGAAGGCTGCATTGAAGCTGCCACACGGAATGTGGATTGTTTTCGCCCTGGAAAGACAGAACAGGAGGATTTCGTGCCTTGACTCTTGCTACGACACACCTGAAGCAACTGCGCAAAGTTGAACTGGTCGAGCATCCGAACCTTTGCTGCATCTTCGCCCGCCCCTTCCCTCTGTTTCTTGATCTCTGAAATGAATTGAGCAGCCGTGCTGACCACGAAGTCGTACGCTTCTCCACGGAGGCAGGCCATGGAGGGAAGGTAGGCATCCAAGTTGCTGATCGCATAGCTCAGCACCTGAAACGGCCATCGGAGTACTCCGCACGTCCCCCACATCTCTCCACAACAAAGAAAAGTTTGGTCACAACAAAAGACTGTTGCCACTCGGTTCCTGGTTGGTCTTTCTTGCACCACTTCTGTTGCTGCAGTCAGTTTCATGTTGAAGAAACGCCATGGTTTGGGAGCCCTTCACGGTGCTTTTGGGACGCAGCCACGAGATGCCCCTCCATAAATGAAGGCTTCTGCCTAAGCCACAACTGCAAGTTTAAGTTGCAACGCGCGTCTTCTCGCGCTTTGGTGGGCTTGTTGTGCCGCGGGGCCCAGTTTGTAGGGATGGAGGGTTTGGCTGTGCTACGCTGCGTTGACCGTCGCCGGGTCGCCGGTGCTTCCCGGGCCCGGGGACCTTTCCCCTTCTCCCTCCCTCGCTCCCTGCCTTCCATGCCTTCCCTCCTGCGAGCAGAGCCTCCTCCTTTTTTGCATCCCCCCAAATTGCTGGGCCTGCTCGGGGGTGCGGCGCTCCGAGGGTGGGCAGAGCTTGGCGAAGTCCTCGCTCTTGCTGAGGCCGCCTCGGCGAGGAAGCCCCGAAGCACCCCGCGCGAAGCCGCGCCCAGCAGTGCCCTCTCAGCAATGCCGGGGCCCTCGGCGGAGCGCGAGGATGATCAAGGCGGCCGTGAGCTGATGGCTGGTCATGCGCTTGGCGCCCAGAAAATCCTCAAAGCAAACTGCCTCGCCTGTGATTGTCAAATTCTTGCTGCGAATTTCTCGGAGGTCCTGGATGGATCCGAAGGTCTTCTCGGAGAGGCGAGCCTGCGGCTTCTGGCAGTCGACCATGGACTTGTAATCGTCCTGAAAATTTCTTTGTACAAACGCGACTTCGAAAAGTTTGCGCATGTTGCTGCATGGCAGAACAAATCGCAGGACCACCTGCACTCCAACAAGTCTGCCCATCCCAAAACTCAGGGCTGGTCCTTCAGAAGCCAAATGACGCTGAGCATGGAAAGCACGGCCCTCTCGATCTCATCCTGTTGGGCGGCTCTGCAGCTGCAGAGCCAGGCAGAGCCACATCAACACGCCTCCAAGTGCAGAAGAGCGTAGATGCCGCCCTCATCGCGCAGCTCCGGGAACTTTCTTTTCATGAGCTGGACCAACTCCTGAGCCCCAAACAAGCCCTCTTTGAAAAAGGACCCGACACGGAGCTTGCTGAAGACTTGGAGCGGCGCGGTGTTGTCCAGACCCGGTTGGAGGAGGTCCTCCACCAAATTCGCGAAGCTCGTCACCTCGCAGGCAATGGCTCTTATGCCAGCTTTCCGGGTTTATCCGGGTTTAGGGTTTTATGTTTCGGGCGCCCCCGTGTTTTTCGCATTCGCAGAAGGCCAAGTTTAAAGGACCGGGCCTCCGAAGACTTGAAGCCGTTCATGCGGCCCATTCCCGGATTCAGCAGATCCTTTCCGGGGGCGTAACATGACATGCGATTCATCCATTCCACGACACCACCAGTGCATCCCATCGTCATTTAAACTGACACAGCTCGGATGCCGGATGAAAAAACACAAAATCAGGATCAAGAGAAGTTATGCCATGCCCACAAATCCTCTGGCACAAGTCGCTCCCAACTCGGAACACTCAATGTACGTTACACTGTCGATCCAGATCGATTCCAATGTCTGGGTGCCTCTTGTGCTACGTAAGTCAAGTCTCTGCCAACTGTGTGTGTTGACGCTATCTTCGGTGAGCTGCGGTCGCAGCATCTCCCATGTCGAGACAGCTTCTCGATTCTGCCTGAGAGGGGGGGGAGGGCCTACCGCATCATCTGTGCCATCTGCCCCCTCACATATCCGTCTCATACTTCCCTTCACACGCATCGCAGTGAAGATCTTGCAGACAAAGAGGCGAGTAGGAGCTGAGCATCTTCAGCGCATACCTGTTTCGCATAGCCCCACAGGCCGCCGCTCTGCTCCAAACTCGGAAGGAAGCGGAAGCTCGGCAGCTCTCAAACATGGGGGGCACTCGTGCACCGCGACCACGGACCCAGGCGACTCCTGGATCGCCTTACGTTGAGAGAAAAAAAGAGCAGAAACAAGCAGAAAGGGAGAGCCCAGAGGGAGCAGAGAGAGGCCTTGCCTTCACAAACTCAGCAGCCGGTGCCAAGAGCACCTCCAACAACCCGCCAAAAACAGCCCCTGCCAGCCTCTGCCTTATCTTAAGGCCGTAACAGCTCCGTATTACGGCCTTCGAGTAGGTTTTCGCCGTCAAGAAAGCCGAATGGGTCCTAAGAAGCAGAGGCGGAGATGCCGCCAAGGCATCTGAGAGAGAGCTGAAGCTGCAAAGATCTGCAAAGGCTCATATTGGCATAGAGGCACAGCTCCTGGGCCAGCAACGCCGAACATGCGTGGACATGCGTGGATCTGTTCAGGAATTTAAGTTTCGGGCGGCAATCCACTCGTCCGGCAAGATGCCGAGCCCTGAAATGAAAGGTGAGAAAGGAAAAGGAGGGGCGGCGGCTTCAAGGACTTGACGCTCTGCCTCCATCCAGGGAGTTGTGGCTGTGGCGGTGCCCCATAGAGACATCCTGCGGCCCCCAGGCAAACCGGCCCGGAGCAGTCTCCGGAGCCAATAGCTGCAAGCGGGAGGCCGATTTCTGCAGATGCATGAGGAACTGCCCCCCCAAGGTGATGAAGAGGCCTCAAGGCTCGCGATAGAGGAGCTTTGTTGAAGTTGAGGCGACCTAAGGGGCCCTTAAGGGGCTTTGGGCCCCGGCCTGCGGCCCGCTTTCCCTGGTGGAAGATGTCTTCGCCCTGCACGCAGTTCACGGTTCGGAAGGCTGCACTCAGCCGGCCGGAGATGCCCACACGCTCCTTGGATTGGAACCAAAAAATCCACCCAAAGAACAAAGAAGAAAGGAGACTCTCCGGAGTCAAGCAAGACTGCAAGAGAGCCCAAGACGCATCCATGAGCAGATGGAAGAACTGGTGCTTCTCCAACTTCTGGCCAATCTTCACGATGTGGAGCTCTTCCAGAAGAGTGCTCGGAAGGAACTTCAGGGCGATGGGCTCCTTGAGATCCATCGGAGAGTCTTTGGATTCCAGCACATCCGTCAGGGAGTCCAGCAGCTTCCTCGGAAGCAGAACATTCTGGCGGCTTAAAGCCCCTTGTTTTCCTCCGCTGAACCATACACCCTCCAAACCCCCAAAAACCCTGCAGATTCAACAAACTCCGAACCCTAAAAGCCCTAAACATCCGAAAAACAAAACAGAAAAAAACACCTGAAACCCTGAACCCCATCGTTTGCTGTCGCTGGTTTGAGCGGCCTTGTGAGCTTCTCCGGGGCGTTGGTCTTGAAGAGCCAGCGCTGAAGATCCTTTGGGAAGGACCACCACACCAAACGGGGGGGGGTTTAGGGTTTAGGGTTCAGAGAGCGAGAGCAGGTGAGACTTTCCAGAATCGCTGCTTCGTCCGGGACCCGGGCCCTTCGCACCGTATCTCTCTCCTGAAGAGGTGAAGTCACACAAGCTGTAAACTGCTGCTGGGCCGGTTCCCTCTGGCTAGCTTCCCTCCCCTCCTTGGCTTTCTCTTTCAGCAAGTTCAGGGTACCACCAATCTTTCCTATCTGCGCTCCCAGCAGAGGTAGGCAGGTGAGAATCACCACCTCGTCTTTCGGCAGACCAGCTCCGATCTGCACAACAGCCGAAAAGTCGAAAAGTGGGCCTACTGCATGCCATGGGACAATGACGACGGCTTGCTCAAACTCGTTCTGAGGCTGGTATGGGAAAGGAGCTGGAGTGTACCTCAGGTGACCGTGTCGTGCACCCGCACTCGGGCGCGTACCATGTACAAACATCACGCAGTGAACCATTCACATGGAGACAAGGCGGTCCGGGTTGCTGCGCAATGGCCCAGTTGAAGCACTGCCTTAGAGGAACAAATGTTGAATGGGAGTGAAAGGGGGGAGTTTGGTGAGTGCGAGGGGCATATACTGGAGGCTGAATTCGTAATTGCCAACTCCATAGGTATCGATCCAGTTTGTGAGCTCCTGCTCCTTGGAGAAGACCCCCACGTAGAAGAGGAGGCACGCAAGGACGTGGTTTACAGCGAGCACTTGTGCGATGCATTGGAAGATCGTCAGGTACAAGACGAACTTCATGTTCCCCTTTGCTGAAACCGCTTGGACAACCCAAAAAACTGAGGCATGGCTTCGGAACCTGCCTTTGCGGCAAGGCGATTCTCCAAGGAGACCATCACCTGACAAAAAACTCGGCGAGATCCGATCGGCTTCATCTCCCGAAACTCAGGCAAAATTCGGGGACACGCCGCAAAAACACCCCTTTACTTTAGGGCGCGGGCCCCGCGGAACTTCAGGATCCGCATCAGGCGCACCAGGGAGAAGACGCGGAACCTCTTCTCCACGAGCTCCAGCAACAGGACCATGTCCAAGGTAACCAGCCCGGCCTGACGCTTAGGGCCGCCCCCCCTTTTAAATACTGCCCTTTAAGTAGGCACATCACTCTGGTATGTGTGTGTATGTTTTTGTATATAATAGAACATGATAGGTTATAGTAGAATGTACTATAATATAATATAATACAATACAATATAATGCAATATAACACAATATAATACAATATAATGTTTTTATTATATTATATATATAGGTATATATATATATATAGATATGGATTTATAGATATATAGATATATAGATATATATACACAGATATATATATATATATATAGATATAGATATACATATGTAGATATATATATATATAGATATATATATATATAGATAGATAGATAGATAGATAGATAGATAGCTCTAGCACCGCTGGGATCTGGACATCCAGAGGAAATCTCGTGCCTCGGCAACACAAGCACGTTGCAGACCAGACTTGACTCCGTGAAGCGGCTTTCAAAAGTAAGCATCGAGCAGAGGTAGATGACAGCGCTCCATAGGGACTTCTGCCTTATAAGCCGGGATAAAAAAAAAATCATCACGTACAGCAGGGAAAAACACTCTCGCCGCTTAAAAACAGGCGAGCCGGGCTCCCCGCATGATGCTCGGGACGAAGGACATGCAAATGTCAAAACTCCAAAGGTAGGGGCCCACCTGGAGCTCAGCTCGACACGATGACGCTTTTGAGATTCTGTGGCTTTTTTTTCTTTGGCGAGGAGTTTCCCACCTCGAAGTAGAGGGCAGCAGGGCTGGTCCCCTCTGAAACATCCGGCCAAGCCAGCGTCAGCGGAATCAGCACTGTGTCCAGGACGACCAAGACCAATGTACAGATCTGCCAGAAGTAGTGCAGGCTGTTAACCCACGCTGAACCTCACGACTCAAACCGAAGGTCCACAGCGTCGCATGGCTTCACCGTGTTTCTTGACGTGATGCTCCTCTCTGTAAGGTCCTGGCAGCTGTCCGAGAGTTCCAGCCCGTTGTAGCGCACGCTGCTGAACCTCTTGCTCTCCTTGCTGCCTTGTCCGGGCGCGACACAAGAAAGCCCCTGCCTATGATCTTAGGTCTTAGGCCAGTGCTGTAGAGGTGGTTGTACATGACGATAGCATCCTCCTCAGATACGACGAAGCTCTCGCTCCAGTCGTCCTTTGCTGCGGATCTGACACTGGTCAAGAACCAGGTGACGGACAGAAAACGATGTCATACATCGGATATCCACACTGTACAGGACAACGACGCCTACTTAGCCTGCTTGTGAGGAAGACGTGGAAACCAAACAAGCGGCCATCGAAACTCCAGACTCACCTCTGGGGTTATGAGGCAACATAACTTAGCAGGGGTGCGCCCATGAGATTTTGCAGAATGGTCGCAGCTCCCTTTCTTGTGACGGAGAGGAGGACGGGTAAATAAATCGAGCGCCTGGAACTTATACTATACTAAGTGCACACATTACACATAATGGAATTTGGTAGAGGTGAGAACTCAAGACTGTCTGGCTCCAGTCAAACTCCATTTTGAAAAAACATCCTCTACTACCATATCGATAAACCCTAAACTTCCTAAACCCTAAGCCCTTTGTCATGGGCTGCGTCAGCAGCTCCGGTTACCGACAGGCCGGGGGTCCAGCAGCCGCAGGCCGCCTCAGCAACAGAAAAGACTGTGAAATGTAAGTGCTCCCTGAAGTCTGCCTGAAAACCCTTACAAGGCCTTGAAACCCCCCCCCTAAAAGAACCCTTAAAACCTGAAGCCCTAAAGTCTTTATGGCACCCTTGAAGCCCCACCACTGCGGATGCCTTCTTCCTTGGAAGCCCGAGGCCCTGGCTTTTCTGCGCTGCGAGGGCCAGGTTCCCCTGAGAGTTCTTCTTCGAGAGCGCCGTGTTCTGGCTCTTCGGAGCCTTTGTCATGGTGGGCACCCCATCCAAGAGCTCGAACTTCTCCTTGGCCTCAGATTTTATTTAGATGTTATGTCATGTCTTATATATCATATCAACTACATATGTATCATATGCATGAATGATGTAGAAGACCCTACAAAATACCGAACATGAGCTCAATGCCGATGCCCAGGAGGGCTTCGGCCTTCCGTCCAAGGTTGGCTTTGCTTTCCAACTACCTGAAGCGGCCTAGACCCTGTCTTCCGGTGGGAAAAAATCGGGAAGAACAAGTGGCCCTCAAAAGTTCATCCTGCCATGGAAAACTTAGCCATCAAGCTGCATGCTCCCGCTTCGGCGATACCTCGCCCAGGCATGCAGAGAACAGCAAAATGAACGCACAAACAGCGCAAACCGATAAAGCCTGCGCTTGCGGATGCCGCTGCAGCTTCAATTGATCCTGAAGCCAAACGCGCAGTGCTCGTGGAATCACAAAGAAAAACCAGAGCAAACGCACCTGTGCCAGCTGCTCTTGGGGCATGCTTCGGAGAGCAGCCTGCATGCCCTCATAGGTGCCGTTCAAGGCCTCGAGAATCGAGGGGCTGGTATGCTGATGCACCCAGTCTCTTTCTGGTGGCCTGCAAGCATGATGCAAACTCCCCCTGTAAGCGCTGCAACTCCGCCACGCTCTCTTCAATGCCTGGCAGCCACGTGGGGGAAAGCTCTTGGCATGACATGCCGCGGAACATAACAAAAAAACTTTCTGCACCTTTCATGTCCGCGAAACTGATGCCATTGCACCGGACCACGCAACCACATCAAATGTATGTAATCACCTGTCTTATGATGTGAGGGCAAGAATTCGCCGCCACCTCATTGGCTACTGACTGTCCGCAGCACCTCGTTGCTTAGGTCAGACATCTTTCGACACTTTCGGTTTGCACGACATGAGTCATGTGGGTTTGTTCAACACGGCTGCGCAGAACTTGCACATGCACTCGCTGGCACAGCTGCATAGAGAGTCGCAACTGCTTCGTCGGACGACTCCCAAAGCATTCTGTTCTGCACAAAACATGCTCATTCACGTCCCTTCATGCAAAAGGGAGCCACTTTCTCGGGCGTCAGACGGCCACTGGCCTACCCTTGTCTGACAGACGGCCACTGGCCTACAGTTGTCTGGCAGGTTGGCCACTGGCCGGGCTGTAGCTACGGTGCAGCGACTAGAAGCTAGCACCGAAACAGCTACTAGCTGTCAGGGTAAGGCGAACGACTCGTCCACCCCCCGTCGTTCCTTACCTGGGTCCTACTAGGACAACTCGATCTCCAACTTGAAGATGAGTCAAAGACTCTACCAGAGTCATCCCCCTACACTGACCGCACCTATGCTGAAGCTTCAAGCTGCAGCATAAGCACGGTCAATGTAGGAGAAAACTGCGGGCTTCGCAAGGCCACTGGCCTAATTTTGGTGAAGTGAAGAACTCTACCAGAGTCACTACAGCCCCTTGAACCTGTGATCACCCTTTGGTGATAAAGTAGGCCACTAGGCCTTTAAGAGCTACTGGTTCATTTGAACCGTCTGCGGCCTACAGCCTACTGTGCTGCAGGCAACATGCCCGTGCACTGCACGTACGAAGCCGGCACTGCCGGGTTGCTAGCACTGCTAAGCAACGAGAGGTACTGACCTCGCCTGCATAACTTATACAGGGTGTGGAGGGTGGGCTGAAAAACTTTCGGAGCAAAGCTCCGTCGAATGCTCAAGCCCGAAAGCTGCAGATCAAACTTTGACCATGTCCTCCACATGACGTGAAAACCTTTTTCACTTTTGTCAAACTTTGACTACACTTTCGGGGGGGGAATAAAACTCATTCGCGCAAGCACGATGGATGCGTAACCTACAATTGTAAAGCTGCTAACTTTCACTCAAAACCAAGCGCCTGCCTGCGGAGTCGCTTTTTTTCAGCTTGGGCTCAAACGAATTAGGGATTTCACGAAGTAAAACAAGTATGACATGTACATACCGGTAAGCAAAAACGTGGCAAGACCTGTAGTTACAAGGTGTGCAAACTTTTGCACCCCGCCTGAAGCCAACTAAGGCTACGCTTGCATGAAACTTTGCGACGTCTAAAGACGCACTGTACCGCGCACTAGGACCGGTATAGAGTATAGAGGTGTGAACAACAGCGTGAGAACACACTACGGTTCCCGACGAAAGTTTAACTTCAGTGCACAAGCTCTGCTGTGACGGTCTTTGGCTTGACCTACCGTCCTAAAGATGCCTAACTACGGGCACATCAGCGCCACATGCCTACGGAAGCCGGAACGACTCGCCCGAGGGTTAGACACATCTGCTGTTGAAGCTTGACGCAGGCACGCGGACCCGAAGTAAGCGTTCGACAAAGCTTCGCAAAAGTAAACACAACTCATCTCCGCCACAGCGCAAAGCGAGGAAGGCATTCATGTGGGATCATGCAAACACAACGTTGGAAATCAAGCTTGCATCTGCGCTCTACGCCAAACGATCGAAGGTATACAACCAACGACAGTCAGCAGCGCACTCAAAGTGCACACATGTTCGGGTTGCCAAAATGCACCATTGCTCTCAAGAAAGGCATCCCAGCATATGTTCAAGGACCGTTGGCCTAGAAGGTCAAAGCCCAAGGCTCAGCAACATGAACATCTGAAGCTATGTACAGCCACATTTGTACAAGGCATCCCATGGTATCAACCCCACAACTGTGCCGGCTGGCCGCTAACCGAATGTTTACATCATGGAGATACCGCATCATGAACATTGCAAGGTTATCTCAAGACAAGATGGCTTCAGATTCACGCGCACAGCAGCACTCAAGGACCACGCTTCTTGCACAGGCGATATAGCCTTTGGGGCAATGGCATCGGGGCGCTCAGTGCGCCTTACACGGTCACAGTTATCAAGCTTGAAGCAAGTCAACTTGTGGTAGCACCTGCCATACACAGTTGTCAACATGCAAGTGTTTGGATGACTCATTCGCCTTGCCCTGAAATCGGATAGCCGTTTAGATCAAAGCTCTGAACCGCTTTGCGACAGTGGCGTCGCAGGGGCTGCCTTCGGCACTGATGGTGGCGCCGCAGCAGCGGCAGCAGGCACATGCATGAGTGGAATTGGCGCATCATTCGATGAAGCGAGGTCATCGTGCCTGGGACCTGGCCTCGCGGATGCCTTGGACCTTGCACTGTTGTTTGCAGGAGTGCCAGGGCAGCCAAACCGACATGCACATTCAAGTCTTGATTGAAGCGCACAGACACTGAGCCACGTTGTCCCCAATTGACATTTGGACCTGAACCTGTCTCGAAGAGGAACTGCGGCAGCAGAATGCGACTGCGAACATCGCGATGCCAATGCAAAGGAAGGCGCACCAATGATTCATCATTGCACTCGCAGCGGAGACACCATCCTCTCCGCGAACCCACAGCCCTAGACACCAGACTAAGAGCTGACGAACCCAGTCAGGCAGTGGATCCAGCTCATCATTGTCGCTGAGTCGCTGCCACCGTCATCCGCAGCGCGGCCCAAGGCGCAACACACAGCAACGACAATGCTGCACACAACTCGCTTGTCAACAGAGCCTGTGGTGGAGCAGACGACACGGATGGAATCCTTCACGGACTGCTTGTAAACAAAGTCAGCAATCTCATCCTCACCCAGCCAGCGGCTCATCATGCAAGGTGTCCAATGGAGTTTACGGGAGAGGCTTTTCGCGTTCAAGTCAGCGACATTCGTAGACGTCGCGACCTTGTGCAAACATACAATCTTTCCGGCAACTAACTGCTGAGCCCATAAAACCCGAACCAACAAGTTCCGTACACGGCCTACACCGCTTCGCTCTCAAGGATGGACTTGGCTGCCGTGGCATCAGTGAAGTGGTGCAGCGCCCAGTGGTTCCCTCTCCCAAAGGGCGTGAAGTAACACTGGAGGTAGTTGTCAGCGATATGTGCGAAGTGGGCTTGCAAGTCGTCCTGAAGCTTGCTCAGCTTCACACGGCCCCGCAACGCATAGATGCCTAATGTGACATGCGCCCATGATCTCCCGGCGGGCAGCTGAGTAGCGCGGGCCCAAACAGCGATGTAAAGGTGAGTCTCACCGGGGGCCTCGTCAGCATCGACGGCAGGGAAGATGTCCAACTGACGGCAGGGCCGCCGTAGCCGTTGAGCCGCTTGCACGGGAGGCAGGGGCAACGAGGACATGGC